CAAACTTACTGAAGAGGCTATAACTCCTATTTTACACAAAGTATTTAATCAAGCACTAAACTTAGGAATCATGCCAACCTCTTGGTGCAAGAGTCTGATCTCTTTAATACCTAAAAAATCAACAGACATAGAAAATATAAATAACTGGAGACCCATATTTTTAGTGAACAGCAATACAAAAATTTTTATGAAGATTATAGCTAATTGACTAAATTTAATCTGTAAAGAACTTATATCACATTAACAGCATGAATTTATTCAAAATAGGTCTATTACAGATACAGTATTAGATATTATTATGACTATAAGAAACCAGTTAAATTCATTCAAACAACACTGGCTGTTTTTTGTTAATTAGCAAAAAGCTTTCAACCAAGTTAACTATAACTTTTTAAAACTTACTTTAGAAAACATGAACTTTAATCCTAAATTTATTAATCTGGTTCATAATCTTTTTTCCTGCCAAGAAGCCTATATTATTAAGACAGGCAATATCTTTAAACCATTTAGAGTTGAAAAAAGAGTTAGACAAAATAACCCTCTTTCATCACTACTATATGTATTAGCTTTTAAGCCTCTTATAAGAACTCTGGAAAGACAAATGCAATAAATTAAATTGGAAAACCAATATTTCAAAACTACTGCATATGCTGATAACTTAATTATAGAAATTGGATCTTCTTTTGACTAGAATAAGGTACAAGTTTTGATAAGCTTATATGAGACTACTTCTAATGCAAAGATTAACAAAACAAAAACTAAGCTAGTTCTACTTACTTCTACTGCATAAAAAGTAGAGTTCTATAATGAGAACCAGTTTATTAAGTTAGAGGAACAAGACACTATTACTATTTTAGGATATGATGTTCTTATAAATGGTTAACTAAAAAAAGATCTTTGGGCCATAACTATTAATAAGCTAAAAGGATCACTCAACAAACTTTTAAATAGAAATCTTTTCTTTAAAGAGAAATTCTTATTGCAAATTTGCTTATTCTTTCCAAAATTTAGTATTCCGCCTATCTGCTATCTCTTAACAAAAAGCAAGTAACAGAAATAAATAGAATTATCTCTTTTTGGATCAAAAGTTCTTCATGAATGCTTCTCAGATATTCTACTTTTCAACAGTCTATAGACCTAACAGAACTTCAAGCTTTGATTATTAAAGATATGTTAGATGTGCATTTAATTTCTGTTTGACTAAAACTTCTTACCTTAAACTCAATATAGGCAATATATAAAAGAAGCAAAATAAACATAATGCTTAAAAAAAAAAGAAATATTTCTTTATTATATGCTTTAAACTCAAATAATATATGCTCAAAAGCTTGGCCTACAGAATAGAAACCCTACTTGCTAGCTTGGACAAGAACTAAAAAAAGAATTCTTTTTATTACTAACTGGTCTTAGAACAAAAAAGAAATTATAGTTAATGAAATAAAAGAAAATGAGTTCTCAGTTAAAAAAATCTTGAAGCTCTTAAAAAAGACTACTCTATCACCTATTTTTCTTCACTTTGCACTCTAGACTATACAACCTACTTGGCTTTTTTTAAAATCTATATGCAACAAGAAAAAAAACATTTTTTGGCAGTTTTTTTATTGAGCTCTTTCTTTAGGATATTGTTTTAAACATATAGGGCTATCAGAAACAGGCAGCTGTGTCTAGTATTTAGAAGAGCTACAAACTCTAAAGCATTTTGCTCTCGAGTGTCCTAGAAGTATAATAATTTGGAAAGAAGCATATAAGTTTCTAAATTTTAATAAGAAAAACCTTTACTGACCAACTTAGAAAGTGTTTTTCAACTTTAAACATTGATTATGTTTAAGTATTAACTACTATAATCTAACTGCATATTAATATAATTTATAAAATTTGGTATTAATATATCTTATTAAAATAAGAAGGCTCTGATACTCCTCTAAGTTTTCTTAATATACTAATTAAAGCTTGTATTTCGAAAAAATACAGGTTTTAAAACACAACACACTAGATCATAAACCTAAAACTGTTAAACTAATCTGTAAATATCTAAAATGTATTTAGACTATTCATAATATTTTAATATAATAATATATTAATAAAGAGCACCACTTGCACTTCTAGTTGCTAAAAGCAACAAAAATACTAAAAAAAAAAAATATTTAGTTCTAATATTTCTTTAACTAGTTTTCTTATATTAGTCTTTTATATTAAAAAATTTTGACTAGTGTAATAATCTATAGAATAAGTAAGTTAGTTAATAAAAAATATTTTAAACTTTACAATTAGATAATATATTCTAAAATGTGTAACAATTTGATAAATATACAAAAAAAAAGACTAATATTAGATTAAACAGTACTTTATATACAAAAATCAGATAATCATTTATTTAAAAGACAATATTTAAATATATAAAAATCAGATAACAGCTAATATAGAACTTACAACAGACTACTTAAATAAGTAATCAAAATTTATATATATGATTAGTTGTATACTTATTTTGTATAAGTTATATATAATACATTAATTAAAATACAAATAAAAATAATATCACAATAACATTAGCTTTAATAAAAGCAAATATATATGTTTATATATATTTTAAATAAAATACTCCTAATAGGAGTGTGACAACATAGTAAAGTAGTTAGATTGTCAACCTTCCAGCTGGTAGGTTGGGTATTCAAATTCTATTAATGATAAAAATTTGGATAATTACCTATATAATGTTCATATTATAACAACTATTACTAATAATTGGGTTAGAATATCTATAATGTTAGTTATATTATTATAACTGATAAGTTATAGGATATCTGTATAACTTGTTATATAGAGAAATGCAAACTGACAAATCAGATAATAAAAACACTAGATAAGTTCTTGTGATTATATAAATCTGTTAAAATTAAGTAACAAAAAGTTTATTTAAAAAGATCTGAATAAAAAGATAATCAGATCTTTAATGATCCTATTGTAAAAGCTAGCCTAAAGAAATAGATACCAAGGTCATAGTATTCAGACATAATAACTAAACAGGCAAAAACCTCTAGATTGTAAGTCTTATAAGTATCACCAACTAGATTATTAGAATAAATTAAAAAAAAAGATATTAGACCAACCTGATATACTAATAGATTGATTGTAATTCTACACAGACTATCTGAATTGAAAATTTGGTAAAAAGACAGATGAAAAAACAGAAACATGTTAAAGTATTAGGATTATGCTATGAAGTAGATGCTAAGGTCTGTATAAACTTTACAAGAACACAATAGTTAAATAATATAACTCTAATTACAAGTATTAGTTCTGTTATAATAATATCTAGATCAATTGTAAAAATAATTACAGAAAACTCTAGAAGGTTTACCTTAAGGATAAATTAGTTCTAAAGTTGAAATAATGATTTGAGTATCTGGGTATGACCCAGTAAATTAATACAGATTACAGGTTTAAAAGATTTAAAGTAAAACATCCAAGCAAGAATGTTAGGTATAACAATTAGTAAGAAACCTTCAAGTGAACTTTTTAAATAGATAATATAAAAAAGTTACATATGTAATTAATTGTACTCTCTTTTGTAATGGTTCATAGAATCATATTATCAATAAGTCATTAATAAAAGTCAAAAGACCAAAAAAATCACCTTAACACAAAAAAAAACTAAAAAATACTTTTAGTTTTATAAAACAAAAAAATTAATTACTCAAATAAAACTTTAAAAAAATAACTTATAATATTAAATGTTTAATTATAGATTTTAAAATTAAATTAAATATTTATTAAATCAAATCAAATTTAATTATATTTAAATTTGATTTAATTTGAAAATTTCTGATTTGAATTTGATTTAAACTCAAATATTTGATCAGATCAAATCAAAACAAATTAATTTGTAAAATTTTAAATATGGTTTGCAATTCTGTTAGTAATACTTAAATTAAAAAGATAAAAATGCAATTTTAATGTTGTTTTTTTTACTAAAAAATAAGGTTTTAATCTTAGGTTTTTAAGATAAAAATGCATATTTAGAGTTAGAATTTTGAAATGTAGGTTAAAATTAAGATTTTTAGAATGTATAAGTTAGTAGTAATGAAGTACAATATATTAAATTAGCCTCAAAATAGTAGTAGTAAAGTACAATGTATTAAATCAGCCTCAAGTTAGTTTTCAAATATAAAAATTTTTAAAAATCATGTGACCGCCTTTTGTTGGGTGTTGAAATATTTTAATTTAAAATTTTAAAAAAATTTATTATTAATATTGCTTGATTTCTCTTATATGGCAAATGATCTATGTTGTACTCTACCATTAATGACTTTTTGATTTTATTCTGTAATATATCGGATATACTTGATTGATTGAATAAATTTATAATATAAAAAAAATGCTCTTTTGAAGCTCAGCAGATTTATGACATCACCTAGTTACACCCTATACAAAAGTCGGTTTATAAAATAAAACTCTACTGAACCGTAACTAGTGATGTAAATAAGTCTGTATCTATAAGTTAAAACAATGATTAAAATATTTAAATTAAGAATACACACACATTACAGTATTCTGCGGAATTAAGTAGCTACGTGATGCAATTTTTTTTACATATAAAAATTAAATATCACAATTAATTATGTCACATTAGTATACAACAAAGAATTCAAAAAGGAGATCTACAATAATTGGCACGAAAGGTACTTTATACCGCAAAATACAAACCTTGACCTGGACTAATTTCAGTCAAGTGCAAGCCATGGGCAACTCAGGTAAGGTACAACAGTAATAAAACATAAATACATTTGATATATACATGTGTTAAAGATATTAAAATAAAGATGACATTTTTATTTGTCGGAATATATATACAATTAAAATAATATATATAGTTATATAAGTGTAAATCAAAAACCCTCAAAAATCCAAACATATCACTACGTCAGAATTACTTAATCAAAAATCTTGGACATTACAATCGGTTGTAGTAATATTATGCGACATATATGGATAGTTTTTTAGCAACCCTTTCCACATCCATTGCACTTACAACCTGACCCACATTTGCATCCTAACACGGTGGTCGAATATCCAGTAAAACTAGATGCTTCGTACGGTGTAGAGTCTGTAGTCAAAAAATCGATACACTCTATTGGACGACAGCAAATGCACTCAGAACCTGCCAAACATTTGCATGGGTTCAATAATGCCTCAACTAAAAAAATATCATAATGAATATTTTTATAATGGGGAATCGAGATTGGGAAACATTATAGGACCGGAGCAAAATTTTTGATTTGAGGTACTGTTATACATGTCATAGGAACTATTTTGGCATTTATTTAATATAAATATCTGAAATAACTCAGACATTTCATATCAAACATTAATGTCGAAATATTTCGTAAAGCCAAAATAGTTTCTACGACTTGTATAGGTGCTGCCAATCGAAAAACCGATAATTTTAAATATGGAATTCTTTATGCAACGGAATATGAGTTTTAAATGATAATAACATGTTACAATAACAGTAAAGCAGTTCTTATAGTCATTTTGATTGAATATTCCAAAGTAACACTCCGTTGTGTAAAGGATTCTATATTAAAATCCTTGGTTTTCACTTGACAACTTCATCAAAAACGGAACTTTTATATATTTTGCATATCTTCGCTCCGGAGGATTAAGGATGGTATTATAAATTTACCTGAAGTTACATCTCTTAAGTCATCATCATTTATTTCATATTCATATTGACTGACTATTCTAGTACTGGTAGAACAGCAATTTTTCACAGGTTGCGACGAAGTTATCGTAAGCGAATGTGTTCCACAACCTTCGCAACCACATCCTGTACCACACCTGCACACGGATTCAGTGGTTGATGTGCCACAACAACTTCCACTTGCCATGGCAGAAGGGCAACTTTGTAAAGAACTCGTAAAAACGGTTGGATCACGATGTTCAGGTTCTATCGGAATAATAGATTGATTACAGTTTTCAGGTTCTAGTGGAATAACAGGTTGATCGTATGATGGTATTGATGACAAAGAACTCGTAACAGAATCTTCATATGCCGTACTGCAATGGCTTTCAACTAACGAAGAATTATCGTCAGCCGGATGGTAACAAACACACTTAGCACCTGTGGTGCACTGACACGGGTTCAATAATTCTCCAACTAAAAAAAAACATGAGAAAAGAAAAATAAAGAAAAAAAATTACTCACAGTAAAACATAGCAACTCTTGATGCTTCTTAATATTTTGCATACTTTACCTCTATTTGAAAAAGGTGATGTATTATTCAGAGTTGTAGATGAACTCTCTTGAATTGATAATCGAAGAAAAGACCAATTAACTTCAGATTGTAGCGTAACCTATGAAATCATCAACATCATATGATTACCTTCTTTCGTTCTGTCATTGCAATTACATTTGACATGAATTTTCTGAGTTTTACGAAGTTCACGACAATGATCACATTGAGTTATCGGTCGGCCTTTTCGTTTGATTTCAATAAGTGGGCGATCCTGATGGTTACATGAAGACGACCGATGACCTTTGATACATGTAGCGCTATTGAAGAAAAGCATTTAGTAATTACATATCGATGTCTTAATAATCAATTTTTTGCAAAAGTTATCGGGACGAGCTTTTCGAAGTTTAACCCATTAACTTTAGCAATTATATGCCGATGTCTTAATCAATTTTTGACGAAACTTTTCGAAGTCTAACTCATAAACAAATTTCAAATTGTCATGAATTCTTACCAGGCATATTTTACACCGTTTACAAAAACCATGTCGACAAAATTCACGAAATTGTAAAGTTAATTTTGTCTTCAGAGTTCTGCATTGGCGAACATGAAATCATCTGATTACGTAGCACGCAATTTCTAGCCACTAATATTTATGCACGTCTGAAATCTGTAACAGGTTATGTCGATCACCAAATAGCATGGTGGAAGTTTGTTTTGATTGGCCAATATTTGTGATCTACAAAAGATGTTACATAGACCATGATATCGTTGCTGGTTGGCTAAAAAAATAATTTTACAATATCACGCTAAGTGTTTAATTGAATATGAGGATGCTTTTCATAAATGTGTGTTTGCAATTAAAAAAAAAAAAAATTTTTATGCCAAAGTAAATTTGAGTTTTGGAGTTTTGTGTAAAAGTCTGTTATTCTTAAAATGCTATGGCTATCAAAAGATAATTTGGGAAACTACGTTCTTATTTTGAACTATGCAGAAAAAGGTTCTTTACTAACATTTATAAAGTAAAGCAAATGAAATAAAATCTGATTATTTGTTCATGTCACTTCAATTGTTAATCTTGCTTTGCCTGACCAGAAAACAACTTGCATTAGGACAAATCTCTTTGTATATATTTCTAGTATTTGATTTCAATTAAAAAATAATATTTATTTGGACCTTACGATTCTTTAAAATGTTGTCTGCATAGTTTATTATTACTTGTTTTCACAATTATTACATTATGTAATATATGTATACTATAATAATAAAAATTTTGTATCTTTATTTCAGAATAAGTGTTTAAAAAATTTCTTGATAGTTTTAAAAATCGAAAACAACTCTATAGTTATGCAAAAAACAGTCACAAAATCGCATTGTAAACTTTCTAGTCTAAGGCAGTGAGATCAAAGATTATAACCCAAAATAAATTTTAATTATTGCAGGTTGTAAATTTTGCAAGTCAAGAAAAAAAAGAAATCACATGATTTTTAGACGATTTCTAAAAGATTTCTGATTTCTTAAAACATTGCTTTAAGAACCAGAAATCATCTAGAAATTGTTTAAAAATCATGTGATTTCTTTTTCTCTTGATCTGCTAAACTTACAAAATTTTGCAAGATTGATGATGAAAAAATCAATAAACATAAATAGAAGTGAATTTAAGGGTAAAGTATATGTAGATCATTTTTTATATGATCTTTGTAGTACAATATAATTTTTATAAAAAATAAGCCTTTGCTACTAATAAAATTTTTTATTGTTGCTATTAATTTTTATCAAATTTTTATATAATATAAAATAAGATATATTCTTTATAATAGTAAAATTTTTAATAGATAAAATATTTTAAAAAAATATACTTGTATATATTGCGAAGTTTTTTATAATGTTTTCAAATTTATTATAGTTATACAAAATTGTTAATTATGATTGGTCCAAATCATATAATCTTTATATGATTTATATAAACAATTCATGATATCTAATTTTTAAATATATATATCAATCAATATTTAACCAATTTTAATAAATTTATTATTATTAGAATTAGAAAATTATATTCTACAATTTTTAATTAATATTTAAAAACTATTTACTTAAAAAAATATTTTTTTATTTTTAATTAAATAAAAAATTTACTATAAGTTTTATATATAATTTGAAAATTGTATACTTTATTTTTTTATTTTTTTTTGGTATTAAGATGACCTCTTTGGTCTTTTAACTTTTATTAATCACTTATCAGTATTGTGGTTTAATAAACCATTACAGAAGAGTGTACAATTGGCTATATGTGTAACTTTTCTATATTATCTATTTAAGGAGTTTGCCTAAAGGTTTTCTACCAATTGCTATACCTAACACCTCTGCTTGGATGTTTTACTTTAAACTCTCTAAATCTGTAACCTGTGTTAACATCACTGGGTTATCTCAAATACTCAGATTATCGTTTTAACCTTAGGACTAATTTATCCTTAAGGTAAATCCTTCAGAACCTTCTGTACCTATTTTTACAACTAACTTAGGTATTGCTATAGCAAAACCAATACTTGCAGTCAGTGCTAATCATTAAACTACTATACTCTTGTAGAGTTCACACAAACCCTAGAATCTACTTCACAACATATCTGAAATACTTTAGTATACCTCTGTCAGTTTACCAAACTTCTAATTCAGATAGTCTGGTAGGACTTATAATTTGTCTATTAATATATCAAATTGGCCTGATATTCTTTTTCTTTGGCTCGATCTAGCAGCCTAGTTGGTGATACCTTCTATCTAGAGGTTTTTGCCTGTCTGGCTACTTCAACCTTGATATCTATTTCATAAAGCTAGCCTTTACAGTAAGGCCATCAAAGATCTGGCTATCTCTCTACTTGGGTCTTTTCAAATGAACTCCTTGTTACCCAATTTCAATAGATTTACATGACTACAAGAACTTATCTAGTGTTTGCACTATCTAATTGCCAGTTTGCATTTCTTTGTATAACTACAATCTTGTCCCAAAGGACAATGTCATGTGACTTGTTACATGAATGTCTCATGACCTATCAGTCATGCTGATGTGATCACCATTACAGGTATCCTAATTCAATCATTAATAACAGTTGTTATAATACGAATATTATATAGATAATTATTCAAATTTTTGCCATTGATGGAATTTGAACACCCAACCTACCACTTGAAGGGTTGACAACCTGATCACTTTACTAGGTTGCTACACCCTTGTATATTCTATTTTTAAGAAAATTAGTATAAAAAAGATATATAAAAAAATATAAAAAAATCTAATATTAAAGAAAAAAGAAAAAAATTATATTAATTGATAATCATAGTGTTCTAAAAAGAAAAAATAAGAATTCTTAATATATAAATAAAAAACTTTTAATCTTTTTGCAAAATATAAAAAAACTCTAATTTTGTCTTTGCAAACTTCCAAATTTTTTTGTTAAAGTATTATAAATCTATTTGTTCTATTTAATATAATTTTAATTAGTTATTTTATTTTGTATAAATACAATGGCTTCTAAAAAAATATCAGTTCTTGTTCTATTTATAATTGTCAAAGTAATTCAAATCAATTTGACAGAATTACAGAATATATATTAATAAAATAAAAACAAAAGATATACTTAATCAATATAATTACCTAAAAATTAAAATGCAGTTGTGTTTTTCTTATTATTTAAGCATCATTGAGTCTAACCATAATGATAAAAACAAGTTATTAACTAACAATACACTTATTGTAAAAAATAATCAAACTGTTATTAAAATGTTACTACTCAGTAACTTATTAATGAATATAGTTAACAAAAAACAATTATCTTTTGATGATAAAATTACTTTAATGATAAAAGTATTTTATGAAAAACAAAGAAAAAAATCCAATTACTTGAATTAAATTCAGATAATTTTTAAACAATGCTTGAAAATGCAAAACTATTATTAAAAGAATTTTTTAATAAACTGTATAGTGTATTTATTTTACAAAAATGATCTGCTTATAATAAAAAAGAAGATAAAAAAAAGTAGTTAATATAAATTATTCTATAACATAAATATATAATAAATTCATAAATAATTATTCTTTAGAGATTGAACTATATCTTATAGCATCAGGTGCTTTATATGATATGATTAATATATTATATAATGCAAAAAATTTGTGTTTGTTATAAAACTGTTGAAAATTATAAAAAAAAAATAGCTAATAAATAATTCAAAAAAATTTGAAAGTATTTTGCTAAAAAATTAAGTTTAATGACCTATAATCTTAGTTTAAAATTAAAAATAGTCAAATTGAATTAATTTAATTTTAGTTATAATTATTTTTAAACAGAATTAGAAATTGAACCTACTAAGAAAATCTCAACTTAAGTAATATTAAATTATTTAGATTATTTGAGAAATTATTATATATTTTAGATAATTATATAGTAATAATTTCTATTTAGATTTAATCTTTAGCTAGGTTACTTAATTCAAATAACATTTCTTAAAATATTAATAGTTTTAAATTTTTTTTTTCTATTAAAATAACAGCTTTGTTATATATAACATTAATAATTATTAGGTTTAGATCACAGATAAACAAGTCTAAGCTCTTATTCTTGCATGTAATTTTTATTTTGTTACAAACAACCTTAGTTTATTTTAGTACTCCTGTACTAAAATATACAGTTAAAATTATTAATAAAGATATAAGCAAGGTTTCACCTTAATACCAAAAAAAAAACATTAATAATTACTATAATATCTATAAAATAAAATATTTAAATATCATATCTCTTTTAGCTTCAATTCATTTTGTAATATGTGTTTGCAAAGAAATTTTCAAATATGCACTAATTTTGATAAATTACAATAGCAACTCTGTTTATAATTCTACCAATATAGATGCATTGTTAATATATTTATATATAATTACAACATATTATAAAATTTTTGATCTTTCTTATATACAAAAAAAAAATCAATAAGCTGTCTTATAAAGAATAGAAACCAATTTTAGTTAAATCAATTTTCTAACTATTTATTGTTATGATAAAGTTATTAAAGATAAAAAACAATAAAGAAGTATAAATAAAGTATAGTTAGTTAAAATTAAAGAAAGTAATCTTAAAGGATTAAATAATTATATAAGTATATTAAAAATAATTCTTTTAATAAATAGAGACATTAATTATATAAATAATTATATAATGCTAGTTATTGCCAACTGATTAAAACAACTTTTTATACAAAAAGCATTAACCTATTTGCAAAAACAACATACAGAAATATTAGTAGCTATTGATGTCTTTATTAGCAAAATAAATATGCAAAATATTA